AATAATGGACTGTAATGAACCAACCTTCTGGGGTTGTGACTCATCTCATCCATCACCTGTATGTACCGGTAACTGACAAAATAAAGGAACCACTTGAGGTGCTTCCACACAGGTGTGGTTCCTGAGTTAATTAAGCAATTAAAACATCCCATCATTAGAGTCATGTATAAAAATGCCCAGGTGTCCATTATTTTGGCTACCATGGCTAGAAGAAAAGATCTCAGTGACTTTGAAAGAGGGGTCTCAAGGGAGTATAAATGGTTTAAAGTGTGTGTGTGTGTGTGTGTGTGTGTGTGTGTGTGTGTGTGTGTGTGTGTGTGTGTGTGTGTGCGTCTCAGTCACCAGATCTCAACCCAATTGAACACTTATGGGAGATTCTGAGACAGCGTTTTCCACCACCATCAACAAAACACCAAAATGATGGAATTTCTCGTGGAAGAATGGTGTCACATCCCTCCAACAGAGTTCCAGACACTTGTAGAATCTATGCTAAGGCACATTGAAGCTGTTCTGGCGGCTCGTGGTGGCCCAACATCCTATTAAAACACTTTATGTTGGGCCTCCCGAGTGGCACAGCAGTCTAAGGCACTGCATCGCAGTATTGCGATGTCACTACAGCCTGGGGTTCGATCCCAGGCTGTGACACAACCGGCCGAGACCAGAAGTCACATATGGCGGCGCACAATTGGCCCAGCGTCGTCCGGGTTAGGTGAGGGTTTGACCTGGGGGGCTTTACTTGGCTCATCGCGCTCTAGCGACTCCTTGTGGCGGCCCGGGTGCCTGCAGGCTGACTTTGGTCGTCAGTTGAACGTTGTTTCCTCCGACACATTTGATGCGGCTGGCTTCCGGGTTAAGCGAGCGGGTGTTAAGAAGCGCGGCTTGTTAAGTCACGTTTCGGAGGACGCATGACTCGACCTTCGCCTCTCCCAAGCCTGTTGGGGAGTTGCAGCGATGAGACAAGATCGTAATCATGAAATTGGGGAGAAAAAGGGGGTAAAAATGACCCTTCATTTTGGCAGTTACCTGCACACACAGTACAGTAGACATACATGTTACAGTGCACCTGGCTCTAGATCCTACATGCGCCCTGTGGTCTCTTCAGTGTAGGGATGTGAGAGTAAGATTACACCTGAACAATGAGTCTCTGTGTGTGTGTGTATTTGCGTGCATGCGCCTGTGCATGCATTTTTGTAAGTGAGTGCGTGTGTGTGCGAGAGAGAGTGTGAGACAGGGTTCTACAGTAATTAACTTTCCTGTCATCTCTCCATGCTCAAGTGTGACTGACACAGTCATTACCAGGCTGAAATCCCTCTGCTCCTCCCACACAGCAGGAAATTGAATATGGGAGATGATTAAAAGTGTGCTTGCTCAGGCCACCACTGCACTTTATTTGAACCTGACTATTGTCTGACAGTTCGATTGCAAGAGACTGTGTGTTTCTTCTTCTTCTAGCTTATTTAAAAGTGTTAATACTTAATAATCAAAGCTACTGAGGGAATGAGAGAGGGGTAACAGAGACAGAGAAAATAAATAAAATAATAATAATCATGAATTTACATTATGAACTTCAACAAAAATCCTTCACTCACATGAATGCCGTATAGCATCTTTCAGATACACAGTTTAATTTTGTGGTGGATGATGCATCTTTGTATTGTTTTGATAACAATGTAGCGTTCTACAATAGCATACAGCAGTTTAGAGAGAGATAAAGAAGATGACCATGATGACAATAATGAAACTGATGATGGGACAAAAGAGGCTGACATTTATGTGTAGGCATATAACATGACCTATCATTTCCATCAGAGTGGGAAACATTATTTGGTGTTTTGTTGATGGTGGTGGAAAAAGCTGTCTCAGGCGCCAGAATCTCCCATAAGTGTTCAATTGGGATGAGATCTGGTGACTTAGACAGACACACACACACACACACACACACACACACACACACACACCCTTTAAACCCCTATGCTCCCTTGAGACCCCTCTTTCAAAGTCACTGAAATCTCTTCTTCTAACCATGGTAGTCAAAAAAGCTACTTGTTATAATTGCTCAGCATCCAAGATATGCAGTCAAAAATGATAACTGATCTTGTTTAGCATGGTGTCATTCTCGATGTGTCCCCCATGGCACCCTATTCCTTATATAGTTCACTACGTTTGACAAGAGGGCCCTGGTCAAAGGTAGTGCACTATATAGGGAATATGGTGCCATTTGGGATGCATTCAGAGTATTTACTTCCAATAACTAATTGGTTATGTGTTGTGTTGACAGGATAATCATTTCCTGTGATGCTGTGAACACACGTTGTAATGATAAACAGGGATGTGTTTGAATATCAGCTTTCATCATCAGGGATGGTTTGTTTGTAAAGTGGAAATATTTGTGAAAGGCTTAACAATGATTTCCTACACTGATGATATTCAGGTGCACACACCACACTGGGTTGAGCTACACTGTATTTAGTTTAGAAATCAGATATCACTGGATTGGAGTGGACTGTCATACATGGCAAAATTACACTCAAACACCACAAAAATAAGGGAATAACCATTTCAGTTGAGTTTAAAGATTGAGGTTGAAGTTCATAGTTTAAAGAAAAAAACGATATAAAAAAAACCCAGTGTAGGTTACATACCATTATTTCAATCCAACCACAGAGATTTCCATTAGGGTTCTAGAATAGAATGACATTAGGAGTCAGGGGGCATCGGAAGCCATATTGTATCACAGTAGTATATCATCTAACCAGCTTGTTGGCCCACTGGCTTCCCTCGCTCCAGGACAAATAACTCATTTATATGAAATAACAACTATTACAGGGTATCATCCGACATGCCGATCTCATTAGGAGAGCTTAGTGCAGTAATGTGGGTGTAATAGCACCATGGGGTTACATAAACTGTTGCTCAACAGGACTAGTCTTCATCATTATCACCTTCATCATCATCATCATCATCATCATCATCATCATCATCATCATCATTATCACCTTCATCATCATCATCATCATCATCAACATTATTATTATCTGCATGATCATTGGCATTGTTTGCCTCACACAGTGGCATGCACATTCATATCAACTCAATAGGGTTTGAAGAGAGAACCAAACTGACTACTTTTTAGAGCAAACTATTGTATTCAGGTCCAATAGTCTAGACAGAGGCAGCATCAGCATTCGTCAGAGATTAACGTAATTACCCAGTTCCTTCCCAACCTCTCACCTCCCTTTATCTGACTATGTATGCTTTTTTGTTTACTCACTCTGATAAGGACAAGACAGCTGTAGACTATAATTATGGTAACTGACTGCTTTCAACTTTATTTTACTGGCTGTAGCTCCTCTTTCCTGACAAACAGTTTGACAGCAAACAAGGCTGTTAACAGTATCAGGCCAGTTTTAATTAAAAGTGTCAAATTTTCTGAGGTGATAGCCTACATTCAGCTTGTAGCAGTAAGTCTAGGTCCAATACAAAATGATCTGTCCTTGCCTGACTAGGACTTTTCTAGGACCCACCCCCCCTCCTTTTGCCCTCAGAACAGCCTCAATTCATCAGGGCATGGACTCTACAAGACCATTCTTGATACACACAGGAAACTGTTGAGTGTGAAAAACCCAGCATCGTAGCAGTTCTTGACACAAACTGGTGCGCCCGGCACCTACTAACATATCCCTTACAAAGGCACTTAAATCTTTTGTCTTGCTCATTCACCCTCTGAATGGCATGTCTCAATTGTCTCAAGGCTTAAAAATCCTTCTTTCACCTATCTCCTCCCCTTCATCTACACTGATTTAAGTGGATTTAACAAGTGACATCAATAAGGGATCATAGCTTTCACCTGGATTCACGTGGTCAGTCTATGTCATGGAAAGAGCAGGTGTCCTTAATGTTTTGACTAAAGAGATTGCTAATAATGATGATTCATCTTTCCTTTTATGTTTTATGCAGGTGCATATATCTTAAATAGGTACTAGCTCTTGGCCATATGTGACCTAATCTCTCAGAGCCAGATGAATATGTCTCTGAATATCGTAGCTGTAAAGTCTGGCACCATATCCTATGACACAGAACATAATCCACTCTATGGAGTGCTTCTTCAACAGAAAGGTGTTTGTGTGCTATCATCAGGATTATCATTTCATATTTTATGACTTGACTAAGAAGTAATTGTATTGATCTCTGTTTCCTCATGACATATAATACAGTGATGTATTGTGGCAGTGTGGCACAAATAATTGGTCCATCATGTTTCAAAATTAACTGAAAATTGTCATTATGTTAAAACAATATATATGTAAAGTGTGGACCCCATTATTAAATGCAAACACAAAGCTTATTATAAGAAGTGACTCACATACCACACTTATAGTCGAAGTATGACTAGAGAGCCTACATTTTCCAAACATCCTATTATAGGCTACAAGGTTAAACAAATCTAAGGAATAGGAATTGCGTTAGTCTATGAGTGAAATTCCCCTCTTAAGACTGGAAACATTATGATTACGTTTTCCGAGGACTACTTATACCTATCAAGATACTAAACTTGCATTATGAACTCAACTCACACAGGCATCCATTTTGAGCATCCTCCTGAGTATTTGGCTTCTTGAACGACGAGCTCTTCCATCCGTGAGACTTTAGAGAAAGCTGATTGGCTCAATCGCGACAGTTCTAAATGTGGGTTTTTTAAGCACCGGGGGAAATAATATATTTGGTATAAAACCTCACAATCAACAGTTCCTACTGCAACACCACAGGGCTTGGACTAAACATAAAAAACAGAGGCAAGTATTGGCTTTTGTTGGTTTGTTTTTTCTTGGCAACTTTGGAATGATGATAACTGAGTTGAATTGTGTCTAATTAGGCATTTAAATGGCTTTTTTCCTATAGTCCATGTTTCAGAAATGAACAGTAAGTAAAATTCTTAATCACAAACGTTTTCTAATCAAGTCTTTGGTGGATTCTCTCCCAAAAAACATGTTCTCCAGTCTATGGCTGTGCCGGGGAACTCACTATGGATGCTGCTTCTCGGTGCGTATTTGGCGCTCACGGTCGGAGCGGACTGCGAGAAGGACTGTGCGCTCTGCCTCAACCGTCTACTGGGACAACAGACGGCGATTAACACTCTGGTAGGTCTACAACTAGTACATGTTTTAATTGAAATGTTTTTAAAGTGAAGTAACTGGGTGCTACTTTTTCCCGCGTCACTTTTTCGTGGGGAAAGATTACGCAGTAGGCTACGGACCAGTTTTTATTTAAAAAAAAAATTGTATGTCAATGTTAGCCAATGTTCCATGAGGTGCATGTATCCTTGGACCACGACTTTATTAAGCTATTTTTTTTTCATTTATTTTGATGCAGGCAGACTGTAATACCAATTAAATTAGGCAACCCATAATTTTAACTGCATCAATATGACATTTCATAATAGTCTCGGTTGAATTTTTTATGTAGGCTACAACTTGTGTTGTCGGTCTAATTGGCGACAACATGTAACCTCGAGGCATTTCTTTGCATCCGTCATGAAGTTAAAATTCCATTAGTATTTGGTTTAATTGAGACATTTACTACAATATAGTCTGTACTAAAAACCAAGACTGTTGCGCATGATCAATTTCCCCTGACATTTTCATTTCGTGAAGTTTAAAGGCAGGTTTAGGAGTGTCTGAATCAGATTAGACAATTAATAGTACTAGCCTATCCCAAATGGTCAACATCGAACAACAAATTACAAAAATGTACCACGATGGCAGGAAAGAGCAAACCTGTCATTATTTGTGGCCTTAGTGTGTTTTAGCCCCACCAGGGAGCAGCATGTTAGTGGTTATAAACTTCAATACAGCCTCAATTAAATGTTACTCTTCATTAATTCAAGCATTTCCTCAGGGTTTGATAGGCATAATCCAGAGGGAGCAGCATGTTTGTGGTTATAAACTTCAATACAGCCTCAATTAAATGTTACTGTTCATTAATTCAAGCATTTCCTCGGGGTTTGATTGGCATAATCCAGAGAGTTTATTTAAGCAAAAACCCCTGAGGTGCCTTATTGCTATTATAAACTGGTTTCCAATTTTAAAATGACAGCCGTGGTATAGCACGGGTATGACAAAACATTTATTTTTACTGCTCTAATTACGTTGGTAAGCAGTTCATAATAGCAATAAGGCACCTCTGGGGTTTGTGATATATGGCCAATATACCACGGCTAAGGGCTGTGTCCAGGCACTCCGCGTTGCGTCGTGCATAAGAACAGCTCTTAGCCATGGTATATTGGCCATATACCACACCTCCTCAGGCCTTATTGCTTAAATATACCATGGCTGTCAGCCAATCAGCATTCAGGGCTCGAACCACCCAGTTTATAATTGTTCGTAGATAGCATATTTTCATTTTATTCAAATACTCCCAATAAAATAATGTAAAATAAAAATGAATCTGAGAAGTTTCTTTTCCATCAGATAATGTATTCAGAATGATCTGTAGGCTATACAAAAGTACTCTTCTCTGCTGCTTTGATGCGCTCAGAAATAAAAAGACAAGTGTTATGAGGCATTATATGTAGGCTAGTAACAGGCTTTGAGGAACGTCATGTCTCATTAACTGTGTTTGCCAGAAGCTGTCAAATGAACCAGATAAAAGTGTCCCTCCATCTGTTTCCCATCTTATTTATTTAATGACTCTTGAAACTAATAGAGCAATATCATAACATATTGGTATAGGCAAATAGAATGAATTTGATTGTACATCCAACCGTGTCTCTCTGACATTGGAGAGAGTAGCGGCCGCACCCAGTTATTTCATGCACCAGAATTAGACTTGTTTGTGCCCCTGTTAAATATTGTCTTATTAAATACTACTCTATACGTACAATTTACCTTTTTATGGCAAAAAATATATCACTATGTCACTCCAGACAATATATTGCTTCTTCACGGTTGTGTACCATGTGTCCCTTGATAGAGACAAGTCTCCAATTAAAACTAGATTTCCAGAAAGGAAATGGGTTTGTGAGCCTCTGTTCCACTTCTGTGTTTTGAGGTTCCCCTCCCCTTCATATCTTTGCAGACATGCTCAATAGAATGTGAGGGCAGCCTGGACACCACGAAGCTCCGCCTCTGCCGAGACGTCCTATTGGAGGAGCAGCGCATCGCTGTAGACGACACCAAACAGGAAGAGGTGGAGGGCGAGCAGCACCAGCTGGCCAAGAAGTACGGCGGCTTCATGAAGCGCTACGGGGGGTTCATGATCAGGAGGAGCCCACCCGTAGAGGACGGAGAAATGCAGGGAGGACAGAACAGCCCGGTGGCCGAGGAAGAGGACATCCGTCTGGAGATCCTGAAGATCCTGAATTCAGAGGCAGAGGGGCAGAGGGACGGAGAGGTGGCCAAGCGCTATGGGGGGTTCATGAGGAGAGGGGGGGACTTGGGGGCCCTGGAGGGGGTGGGCAGGCCATTGAAGAAGCGTTATGGTGGCTTCATGAGGAGGGTAGGGAGGCCCGAGTGGCTGGAAAATCAGAAGAACAAGGGGGGGCTCCTGAAACGCTCCTGGGAGGGGCCAGGAGGTGACTCCCCCCTGGCTGAGATACACAAGAAATATGGAGGATTCATGGACTAGGGGTCAGCCCCTCCTCCAACCCCTCCTGATGAGTCTGGACTCTCAATTTTGATCAGATGATCCATTCTTGTTCCGTTGTAGTGCTTGTACTGTGCTGCTTTTTGTTTGTTTGGGTTTACTGTGACAAAAAAACACTTCGCTTATCAGGTGATGATAACTCCATTTATGGCAACCAGTACTGTATGTTTTATGGGTTTGGTTATTTATAAATTAACCTGTGTTCATTGTGGTGTATACGGCTGGAGCATGTGTGGAAAACCAATCATGGCATGACCTGTTTGCTTTCTCTCATTGACTTGCCACTGTTTTTAAAGGGATAGTTAACTTTTTTAAGTGTTGGGTGATTTTAGACTTACCTAGGGTATTGTTGTGTCATCCATACCGTTTTTAAGTTTGTTAGTTGGTTATTTAGTATTGTCCAGAATCTCCTGGCAAGGTAAGACGAAAATAAGCTAAAACTTCAAAAAAGTTAACTATTCCTTTACGTGGCTAGTACGATAGACCCTTTCTGAGACTTCCATTCTCACCACAAACCTTTAGGGACCTCAAAAAGCTAAGCCTCAGAAAAGGCTGTTACTATGGGGAAGTAGGCTATTGTGGCCTTCCAATTGGTGGTTTGGTCTTTGGAACTGAACAGAGGGAACATTAACATTTTCTGCTTTGTTGTTGGAACATGGAGGTACCCTACTCTAAGTACTGCTATACCAGTGTGTTGTAATTATCCATATAATGGCAGTGTGTCGTTCGCTATTACTACTTTCAACCGTGCTCACACTTATCCCAGTATGCTGATGTCGAAACATGTTGCTTTCAGTTGATAAATGTCCTAATTTTGTGTTCTTTCTGTAGAGAACAGAGCAGCATTTGAGACCAATTAGTTGTACAAAACCTAATAAACCCATAAATCCTGCAGAAATAATTGGACTCCACTCTGTCTTGTTCTGGCTGGTTGATGTGTTTGTCAGCTTGGGAGGTGGAGTTAATGCTCCTGTCTCACTCTGCCAAGCCCACCTGAGATAATAACTCTGGTGTTAATGGTGAGGATTGGATTTATTTGACACATTCACAGTGCTTTGTGCCCTGTCTATATTTCTGTACCCATTGCTCAAGTAAACACAAAATATTAACGGCAATTGTCTTTAGATATTGTCCCTTAGCTCCCCCAACTTCACAGAGTCCCAAAATGTCACAGATATTTTGCTTAACATAATCCCTCCTAGAGGTCTATATGAAGAATGCTCTTCATAACAATAAGGCAGTATTTTAAATATGACTCACAAGTTAGATTTCTAAGAAAGAGGATTGATAGCCCCTCCCCACTCTGCCACATTCCTTAATATCTTCAATTTCTCTACCTTCAGTGTTCTCAACAGTAGTTGTTTCCAGAGGGACCACCATATCTACACTGAGTGTACCATACATTAAGAACACCTTCCTAGTATTGAGTTGAACCCCCCCTTTTGCCCTCAGAACAGCCTCAATTCATCAGGGCATGGACTCTACAAGGTGTCGAAAGCGTTCCAAAGGGATGCTGGCCCATGTTGACTCCAATTCATCCCACAGTTGTGTCAAGTTGGCTGGATGTCCTTTGGGTGGTGACCATTCTTGATACACACAGGAAACTGTTGAGCATGAAAAACCCAAACAGCATTGCAGTTCTTGACACAAACCTGTGTGCCTGGCACCCCGTTCAAAGGCATTTCAATTTGTCTTGTCCATTCACCCTCTGAATGGCACACATACACAATCCATGTCTCAATTGTCTCAAGACTTAAAGATCCTTCTTTAACCTATCTCCTCCCCTTCATTTACACTAATTGAAGTGGATTTAACAAGTGACATCAATAAGGGATCATAGCTTTCACCTGGATTCACCTGGTCAGTCTATGTCATGGAAAGTTCATAATGTTTTGTATACTCAGTGTATATCCACAGATTTTCACTTCCAAAATGTTGGCAGATGCATACATCATATAGATAAGGCCTTTATCAAATGTATAGATACATATCTATCATATCTATCAAAGCTCTATATATGGGTATGTCAAATAGGAAGATGTCAAAATATTAATTAATTAATCAATGCAAATTAATTGAATGTCTTGTCAGCCCTCATTAGGTGTATGCTTAAATTTGTTTTGAATTGTTACTTATGTATCATGTGATTATGTATGTATCTAGTTGGTCATTTATTTTCTGTATGGAAAAAATATGTTTTTATTTTGACATGCTAAAAGGTAAATAATTGAAAGAATGTTAAAAAATGTAGCCTGCAGGACCTTTTGAATGACAAACATACATACCTAAATCCCATAATTCCTTACTCGAGTTTTGATTGGGTGTCATGTGACATTACATAGCCAGGCTCCAGATCAAATCCAGGGTATGCTCGGCTGCACTGTTCAGGCACTTGAAGACCGGAAAAGCAACGAAGAAACCACGCGGAGGGTAGGCATATGTCAACATATCTATGTGCCAAGTAAAGAAATAAGTAGATAAAATCCTGTTTTAGTGAGTATCTTTTATGCTTTAATTACCGCACGCCTCGCCGCGGAGTGCAAAGGTCGATTAAATACCTGAATGTCCAGGGTTGAAAGAAGGCGATACAAAATATCCAAGGTTGAGCTGATTTTCTATTGAGTTAAATTTTCATCGGTTACATTTTGATACATTTTTAAACACTGAAATTATGGTGAGCGAATTTGCTACTTTCTATTCGCGCTGTCCTATCGTTCAGTGCACCACGTTTGTCTACATCACCAAATTGAAGTTGTGTTTGGCGCGTGGATTCATGAGTACATTTCATGCATTATATTATCAGTTGAAAGCTAACCTTTTAAAATCAAATAATGCTCATCTGCAATCTATTCAATAGGTCTATTTCTTATTAGGATCACCAACGATCACAAACAAATTAGCTAGCATACAACAATTAAACCAAAACAAACAGAAGTTAGCAAACAAACAAAACATGAACTATCAATTGTGACAACTGTCTTTCCAGGGGTCAGCAAAATGAATTTCCTCCTGGAAACCCTTCAGTTGATTGTAATGTCCATCTATTACAACATAGAGGCGTTTGTCAGACTGTTCATCCCACTCAAGAAGAAAGATGTCACCGGGGAAATCGTCCTCATCACGGGGGCGGGCAGCGGCATTGGCCGGCTCATGGCAGAAAAGTTTGCCCCCCTGGGCGTCTCTCTGGTTCTGTGGGATGTCAACCAGGAGGGCATGAAGGAGACTGCAAGATTAGTGAAGGAGAAAGGGGCAGCTAGGGTCCACTACTACCTGTGTGACTGCAGTAACAAGGCTGCGGTCTACAGAGTAGCTGACCAGGTAATCAATCGATGACTCATCTTCCATAAAGACTTTGATTACTTAAATATGGTGTATCTGGGGCCGGGGGACCTGTACTGGCCCTCAGTGGTGAAGATCTTTCACCTGTTAACAAGCTTGCGTTCACCTGTAAATATAAGCTGGGCAATGCCACGATACAGAAATTACACTAAGACTCAGATTATTCACTTTAAAATGTATACCAAACAAAAACCATTTATTTCAAACTTTAACAAACCATACAACTCTATGCACAGTGACTACTTTCAACAATTGACACAGTAAATAAATAAATTATACTGGAAAATTGTGCAGATGCAAAAGTTTGGTAACAGAATTACAGTAAAACCTCAGTTTTATTCTGTTACCAAACTTTGTATCTGCACAGTTGTTTCTGTAAAAATATGGTTTGTTCAACTTTGAAATCAATGGTTTTTGTTTGGTATACATTTCTTAAGTGAAAAATCTGAGTCTCAGTGTAATTGCGTTACCATGCCCAACTTTGTCTTATGCTGCTGGTGACTTATTCACTGTTACTACAGTCATAATGTGTGTTGTAAACTGTCTGTCAAAGCAAACTGTTGTTTGGAAAATCCGTTGTGCTGGAGGCACGTTGAATGAATGAGAAACGAGGGAGTAGCTGCTTAACAAATGTCCAGTGTTGCTGAGAACGCAAGCAAAGCCACATGAAAGATGGTGATTCCTTGCGAAACTAGAACAAAAAATACCATAATATTTTGGATTTTCACAATGTAATCCATAGTATGGTCCTTTTGGAGGAAGGATTGTTTACATTTTTGCCATTTGTAACCTAAAGCATAATAAATATATAATGTATTGAATTTAGAACATTGACATTTTGGCCTTACCCAGGACTCCTTCAAGACTCCATAATGTTTAATCTGCAACAAAAAAGGTGTAATATGGAGCTTCACCCCTTGCACTGTAATATGAGTAGTATTTAGATTTCAATTAAATATGACACAAAAAATATTATATTACATTAATTTATGAATATAGAAACATGAATATTTAAAATATGCACAAATGTATTTTGATAACTTTTCAAAAAACGTTTTGAAAGTTATGGCCTATTTTATACAGATGAATTGGCATAGTAGGCAATGTGACCAATCACAGCCCTCCTGTTACTTGTATCATTGCACATCCTGCAAATCACTAACAGAGGGTGACCATTTTGAATCCATTTTCACATTCACTCTGTTGGTAATGCTTACAGATTGGATCATAACTCTAAAAGTAGCAGAGTTCCCAGTCTGGAACTTTGATATGGCCATAGTGTGGTATGTTCAATAATGTATAGAACAATTTGCTAAATCAAAAATGGTATATTTTCTACATTCACGTTTAGACTTTTCAATATTCATAAATTAATGTAAGAATTGTTATTGAAATCAAAATACTACTCATATTACAGAGCAAGCGGTAAAGCTTCATATGACACACATTTCTGCTTTTTAGCACCTACAGATGAAACATTATCGAGTCTTAAAGGAGGCCTGGGTAAGGCCAAAATGTCACATTTGAACTTCAATTAATTATTTATCAGTTATGTTTTCAGATACAAATGTCAAATATACAGGTAACTGCCAAAATACAGTAAACACTTGAGTAAATGAGGGATACAAAGTGTATTGAAAGCAGGTGCTTCCATACTGGTGTGGTTCCTGAGTTAATTAAGTAATTAACATCCCATCATGCTTAGGGTCATGTATAAAAATGCCCAGTGTTACCGAATATCACGGTATGGCACAAGGTCGGTATGAAGGTATGACAATCTGGATACCGCCCAAGCATACAAAACACCAAATTATGGAATTTCTCATGGAACAATGATGTCGCATCAACTGTAAAAACCTGTTTTAAACTCCAGGCAATCGTTTAAGACCCCTTCAACCCGTTACCCATGTCCATAAGTACATAGCAACAATGTTAAATAATCCTTACCATAACTGGATTGCCAGGATGTAGGAGACAAAGATGTCATGTGTGTTGATTCAACATGTGTTTTGAAGTAAAGTATTTTTAAACATTAAATCCTTGAGTCTATTGACGCACCCGTGCGTCAATCTACTGTAAGTGACATAATAAAAAATCCCCATCAAAATCTGTCAATTTAAAATGGATATCTATGGGCTGGGTCTCAATCCACTGCATCCGCCTATGTCTGCCTTCCGCATCTGCGGTGGAAGGTGGCCGAGCTACAGTGGTGTTTGTCAGACCATGAGACATCCCATAAAGCGGTCTTCTCACGAAAACGTCTCAAGTCTCTGAATGTTTTGGCCTACAAACTAATATGACCACTATGGAAAGATGGTGTTCTCCGTTTTGCTATACGACCCCCACAAGCCCCACGGGACTCGTCTGAAGTCGGTAACGCTGATGTGCTAACTTCTGTCTTCCGAACTGTTTGGCCTACAAACTACAGTGAACAAAAATATAAACGCAACATGCAACAATTTCAAAGATTTTACTGAGTTACAGTTCATATTAAGAAATCAGTCCATTGAAATGAATTCATTAGGCCCTAATCTATGGATTTCACTTGACTGGGAATACAGATATGCATCTGTTGGTCACAGATCCTTAAAATAAAAGCTAGGTGCGTGGATCAGAAAACCAGTCAGTATCTGGTGTGACCAGGATTTGCCTCTGCAGTGCGAGACATCTCCTTTGCATAGAGTTGATCCGGCTGTTAATTGTGGAATGTTGTCCCACTCCTCTTCAGTGGCAGGCAAAGTTTCTGGATATTGGCAGGAACTGGAACATGGCATTGATCCAGAGCATCCCAAACATGCTCAATGGGTGACATGTCTGGTGAGTATGCAAGCCATGGAAGAACTGGGACATTTTCAGCTTCCAGGAATTGTGTACAGATCCTTGCGACATGGGGCTGTGCATTATCATGCTGAAACATGAGGTGATGGTGGCGGATGAATGGCATGACAATGGGCCTCAAGATCTCGTCACGGTATCTCTGTGCATTCAAATTGCCATCGATAAAATACAATTGTGTTCGTTGTCCATAGCATATGCCTGCCTATACCATAACCCCGCTACCACCATGGGGCACTCCGTTCACAACGTTGACATCATGTGAAGGACATTTTATTTTGTGCATCTTGGCATTGGTGTCATAAACAATCCTTGGTTCCAGCCTGTGCCTGGTAAAGATATGGGGGGGGCGTCATGACCTCCTCCTTTTGACTATTTGGCAGAACGCCCAGAATATGTTAAGTTAAGATAAGAGACGGTGCCAGACACATGCCGGGACCAACCCTATGAACTATGCCTATGTAACATGTCTGTAACCAGTATATAAGGGAACTAAATGGGATGGCCCCGTGGGAGCTCCTGACAGACGTTCACTATGGTGCATCAAGTTTGTTGGAACCTCTCCAGCGCGCTGACAATAAATAATTATTAATTTAAGATTGTCAAATTTCCACGACACCATACACGCCATCTGCCCGGTACAGTTGAAACTGGGACTCATCCGTGAAGAGCACACTCATCCAGCGTACCAGTGGCCATCGAAGGTGAGCATTTGCCCACTGAAGTCTGGTTACAACGCCGAACTGCAGTCAGGTCTAGACTCTGGTGAGGATGAAGAGCACGCAGATAAGCTTCCCTGAGACGGTTTCTAACAGTTTGTGCAGAAATTCTTTAGTTGTGCAAACCCACAGTTTCATCAGCTGTCCGGGGAGCTGGTCTCAGACAATCCCGCAGGTGAAGAAGCTGGATGTGGAGGTCCTGGGTGGTTACACTTGGTCTGCGGTTGTGAGGCCTGTTGGACGTACTGCAAAATTCTCTAAAACAATGTTGGAGGCGGCTTATGGTAGAGAAATGAACATTACATTCTCTAGCAACAGCTCTGGTGGTCATTCCTGCAGTCAGCACGCCAATTGCACGCTCCCTCAAACCTTGAGACATCTGTGGCATTGTGTTGTGACACAACTGCACATTTTAGAGTGGCCTTTTATTGTCCCCAGCACAAGGTGCACCTGTGTAATGATGCTGTTTAATCAGCTTCTTGATATGCCACACCTGTCAGGTGGATAGATTATCTTGGCAAAGGAGAAATGCTCACTAACAGGGATGTAAACACATTTTAGAGAAATAAGCTTTTTGTGCATATGGAACATTTAATAGGATTTTTATTTCAGCTCATGAAACATGGGACAAATACTTTACATGTTGCGTTTATATTTTTGTTCAGTCTAACATGACAACTCTATGGAAAGGGGATATTCTCACGAACACCATGGTGTTCTCCTTTTTGCTCTACGACCCCCACAAGCGTCACGGGACTCGTCTGAATGTCACCCATAGAAATGACGGAATTATGGAGGTAGTTTTGTGGCAACAAAAATAAGGGGTTAAATATGTCAACTAATTTATTGAGATTTCTTGTATCTCCTAGATATAGGACAGACACTTCAATTTTTGACTGTCTTTTTTGCTTTGTAAATGTACACAAAATATAAAACGTTTACTCAGTACTTTGTTGAAGCACTTTGGCAGCGATTACAGCCTTGAGTCTTCTTGGGTATGACGCTACAAGCTTGGCACACCTGTATTTGGGGAGTTTCTCCCATTCTTCTCTGCAGATCCTCTCAAGCTCTGTCAGGTTGGATGGGGAGCGTCGCTGCACAGCTATTTTCAGGTCTCTCCAGAGATGTTCGATTGGGTTCAAGTCCGGGCTCTGGCTGGGCCTTTCAAGGACATTCAGAGACTTGTCCCGAAGCCACTCCTGCGTTGTCTTGACTGTGTGCTTAGGGCGTTGTCATGTTGGAAGGTGAACCTTTGCCCCAGTCTGAGGTCCTGAGCGCTCTGGAGCAGGTTTTCATCAAGGAGCTCTCTGTACTTTGCGCCGTTCATCTTTCCCTCAATCCTGACTAGTCTCCCAGTCCCTGCCGCTGAAAAAACATTCCCATAGCATGATGCTACCACCACCATCCTTCACCGTAGGGATGGTGGCAGGTTTCCTACAGACGTGACACTTGCCAATCAGGCCAAAAAGTTCGCCAGACCAGAGAATCTTGTTTCTCATGGTCTGAGAGTCTTAAAGTCTTCAGGTGCCTTTTGGCAAACTCCAAGCGGGCTGTCATGTGCCTTTTACTGAGGAGTGGCTTCCGTCTGGCCACTCTACCATAAAGGCCTGATTGGTGGAGTGCTGCAGAGATGGTTGTCCTTCTGGAAGGTTCTCCCACTCCACAGACAGAGAAACTCTGGAGCTCTGTCAGAGTGACCATCAGGTTCTTGGTCACCTCCCTGACCAAGGCCCTTCTCCCCCGATTGCTCAGTTTGGCCGGGCGGCCAGCTTTAGAAAGAGTCTCGGTGGTTCCAAACTTCTTCCATTTAAGAATGATGGAGGCCACTGTGACCTTCAATGCTGCAGATTTTTTTTTTGCCACCCTTCCCCAGATCTTTGCCTCGACACAATCCTGTCTCAGAGCTTGGGATTTGCTCTGACATGCATTGTCAACTGTGGGACCTCAAATAGACAGTTGTGTGCCTTTCCACATGTCCAATCAATTGAATTTACCACAGGTGGACTCCATGTTGTAGAAACATCAAGGATGGTCAATGGAAACAGGATGCAGCTGAGCTCAATTTCGAATGTCTCATAGCAAAGGGTCTGAATACTTATGTTAATAAGGTATTTCTGTTTTTTATTTATAGATTTGCAAAAATTACAAAAAAACTGTTTTCGCTTTGTCATTATCGGGTATTGTGGATTTTGTATTTATTTAATACATGTTAGAATAAGGCCGTAACATAACAAAATGTCAAAAGTGAAGGGGTCTGAATACTTTCAGAATGCACTGTATGTCCGACATAGAATTAAATGAAACTCAACGTTGGGATTCCAGGCAACCTGTAGCCATAGTGCAGAATATTGCCTTTGTCTTAAACTCTGGGCACAACATTACGCAATCAAGAGACCTACCGTAGAGCTGATCGATAGAGATTTTATCAATCAACCTTGAATGGGTGAAAAAATGTCATTTTTAATAATAATAATAATAATATGCCATTTAGCAGACGCTTTTATCCAAAGCGACTTAGTCATGCGTGCATACATTTTTATTTTTTTGTGTATGGGTGGTCCCGGGGATTGAACCCACTACCTTGGCGTTACAAGCGCCGTGCTCTACCAGCTGAGCTACTTGTTCATGTACTGTAGTTGAAGGGTCTTTTCCATAGACTGACTGGGGTACAGATAATGCTTCAAGGACAATGAAATTTATGTTTATATATGGTCTGTTGGTGTTTTACTTTTCTATTATTTCTCTGTTTTCTTTCTCTCTGCGTTGTTGGGAAGGGCCTGTAAGTAAGCATTTCACTGTTAGTCCACACCAGTTGTTTACGAAGCATGTGATGAATACAATTTGATTTGAGCCCTTTGTTTAACCTGCTCTACTGTATGCCAATACATGCATTTCTCTCCTGATAGATTACTGTGCCAGCAAGTTTGCTGCTATTGGCTTTGCTGAGTCTGTGGCTCTGGAGCTGCTGGCTACAGGGAAGGATGGAGTCAAGACTACTATCGTGTGTCCACACTTCATCAACACTGGCATGTTCGATGGCTGCAATACTAAGTAAGTTATCAGCCATAAGAGGTCTTATACAGGATTACATTTCCAATTTGAAAGTTGTCATTAAGTGCTTATAAGAGGTTATTATCCTCCTTGCATATATTTAATAGAATTTGTCATGAAAAGTTTGAGATGACCCTACTGAAGGGTATTTATTCATCCATGTATAAATGATTTAATATGCAATCCCTTTAAAAGCCAGCGCCAGTTCTGTTTTTATGGGACGTGAAACTGAACAAGAGACATTTCTTAAATTAAGTTTGGTTTCATGAAGCGTGAAATGGAAGGCCCTGTCTCGGCATTGACAGGGTGGAATTGATGATTGCGTTTTGGCAGGAGTTACGAAAGTGCTGGGAGACTTCCTCTATGAGCAGGTATACAATGTCACTATCAACAACAAACATGGAAGTACTTACTTTACACTAGACGAAATGCTGCTTACTATGGACTGGATACCCTTGTGCTAACCTTTTTCCCCCACAGGTGGCCTCTGTTGCCTATCCTGGATCCAGACTACGTAGCAAAGAGGATAACTGAAGCCATTTTAACTGACCAGGTCTACCTTCTGCTCCCAAAGAGCATGTATCTTCTCTTGGGCATGAAGAAGTGAGTATCCCTTCATGTTCTTACTGTTCTCTTCATAATGGGAATAACATGCTGGTTTTTTCTATTTGCCTCACCCATAGAGATCTGCTGTACAGACACACACAATCACACATTCAGTCACTCCATTCCAACACTCAGAAATGGTTACATGCTCAAACTGCACAGTATAGTCATACCCACTGGTGACAACCTCTACTATTGCCCAGGTAGGGTGCCCTCAGTCTAGTTCTCTAGCCTCCCTCCCTTCTTAAGTAGTTTAGCTTCAAGTCTTTCAATTGACATAGTCCATATCTTCCCTAGATGTCCCTTTTGCTTTTGCAGCTGGTTTTGACTGTTCCTGACCCAAGCTAGCCTGTTAGTAGGTTTTCCTCAGACAGGCCAGGGATAGCCAAACAGACTAGTGAGGTGTCCTAAAGTGGTCAGATTACAGTAGACTATGTATGGGAGGGACTTAAGGATAGACCAAATGGTCACAGGCCATAGGTGGCTGGAGCAAGGTCAATAGGTTAAGGTGACCAGACGTCCCTGATTTTCGGGGACAGTTCCCCGTCTTCGGCTAGAGCTGTCACTTGAAATGTCCCAATTACTTTCTCTCATTATTCACATTTAATGTGGAAGTGTTTAGAAACATGTTCTATTCTTAATTACATATTGACACAATACATTATTTACCATTCATTTCTATTGGGCACAAAATTATCTGAAAGCAACCAAAACAAACAGCAAATGCATCCGACAAGTTTGTCACAAGCTTGATGTAGACATTGCGTGCTAGGAATATGGGACCAAATAATAAACTTGAATACTTTAATACACAAGTAAATTTGTCCAAATACTTTTGGTTCCCTAAAATGGGGGGACTATGTACAAAAGGTGGTGTAATTCCTAAAAGGTTCACCCGATATGGATGAAAATACCCTCAAATGAAAGCTGACAGTCTGCACTTTAACCCCATGGTCATTGTATCATTTAAAAAGTGCTGGAGTACAGAGCCAAAACAATAAACCTTGTCACCTTCCAATAACTTTTGGACCTCACTGTAAATCGTCCCTTAATGGTGCTTGTGTCATAGATAGAGAGAGGAGAGACACAGATGGTTTTTCACTGGACACAGTTCAACTGAGTGGCGTCTCAGACAGGATAGGATTTACTGTAGTAAATACAGTAATTGAAGAGGGAGGATAGGAAGACTAACATTTTTAAACATATCTGGTTTAGTGACTAACCAAACCACCCCACGCTTTAAGACAATAGTCAAAGCATCTTCATACCGTTGGTGTATGTGGACCCAAGCTTTTGAGCTGGGTTGCCAAGCAACAGAGCTTTAGTATTTTGTCTATGGACAAATGCATAGCCAGGCTAAACTGCGAGCACTTATGAAGTGTGCTACTTCACTCCATCAGGCAGGCTCAATCAGTTATATATATATATAGTTAAGATAAACTTACGTTTTACATAAATGTTATGTTTTTTCAGTAGAAGAAGGAATGCTACATTCAAGTACATGTGGTTTCTTCAGAAATTGTGAGAGACACTGTGGTTATTTGGGAGCACATATTAATGATCACAGGTTCTAGTTGAAAAAATCACTTCTGATCCACTATAGATAGTTATTTCTCCAAAATAGTTATAATGCACAAAGGGTGAAGTGAGTGTTCCATAAAAGCGGCTGACCTCCCATCACCGTGTCCTTGTAGTTCCTTGAGGTGGAAGCAGACGGCTCTCCTGGGGAAGTACCTGGGTGCCTTCGAGAACCCAGAGCACTGTGAGACAACATGCCTTAAGCTGCACTGATCTTCACTAAGCCCCTAGCACGCTGTTTGGCCCATGTTTAACCCATGGCCATTGTCAACACACACACACACCTCGGGCTGTGAATTGTGCTTTCTGTTCAATACGAAGCCATTCGACATGTGCATCAGTGTCATTGGCTACTGAAAGCAAAGTGTAGATTTGTGGCATTAACAGCTGTCTGCATTTCACACTGTTGGAGGACTCCGGGGGGATTTCTGCTAGCATAACACTAACATTTTACAACATTTGGATTATGGCTCTAGGTAAATTGTCAGCATTTCAATTTTCACCAGATGGGAGGTATCAGGGAATTACATCTGCATAGTGTCAGTGCATCATCACTCTCCCGAGTGGCGCAGTGGTCTAAGGCACTGCATCGCAGTGCTAGCTGTGCCACTAGAGATCCTGGTTCGATTCCAGGCTCTGTCGTTGCCGGCCGCGACCGGGAGACCCATGGGGCGGCGCACAATTGGCCCAGCGTCGTCCAGGGTATGGGAGGGAATGGCCGGCAGGGATGTAGCTCAGTTGGTAGAGCATGGCGTTTGCAAAGCCAGGGTGGTGGGTTCGATTCCCACGGGGGGCCAGTATGAAAAAATAAAAATAATAATGTATGCACTCACTAACTGTAAGTCGCTCTGGATAAGAGCGTCTGCTAAATGACTTAAATGTAAATAATTGGTACTAAAAGGTAGATTCTATCACTTTTACTTATTTGTGATACACAGATGTCACCCAAAGCCCTGCTGAAGGATTTTACATGTGCTTTGATGGATTTGCATACAGATATATTTTAGGGAACTAGTGAGTGAAGGAGTTGATTATTATATATATTTTTTCAAATACTACTGCATTACAAAAATCTGTCAAAGCTGTTTGAATGTGTCACTTAGGCCTAATGCCATTGTAAAAGTAAAAATAAAATGTGCATCAATGGAAAAACCTGCTACATTATGTAGATATGTACTGCACTTTTGAGATTGTGGTTGGGTGTGAGTATGTTCAACTTTTTATATGGCCATAATTCTGAATCCCCTTGGGATATATGACTACTTCAAAAATTCGAATAAAGATTTTGTACGTTTTTGTCATCTGATAGTCTGCGATCATTCAGCAAACACTCACTCATACCCAGTGCAAACCTAGTCAGTGCTAATACAGTAGTTACTGGGGTGTATTCAGTTAGTTAAAACAACCTGATACACAGCTGGTATGATTCTCATTCTACGACCATTGTATGTTCTTATCTACACCATACATTTCTATCTAAACTTTCTGTGACATTGTACCCTTCTGAACATGCCCCTGGTGATGGGGGAACAGTTTTTGCTGTAAGAGCCGGGCCTTTTGGGTACTGACACTCAGCTTGACCCCTCTACAACCTAATCAGATGGCTAAAGGGAACCACAGGCCTCAAGTCATTGGCATTTTGCATGAGAATATTCTACAGCCCAGGGAATATTGCATTAAGAGATCATATCAGTTTGGTTTGATAGAAGGAAATATTCTATATTAAGGTCATTTATTTTGCAGCACTATCAAAAGGTAATCAATCTGCTTTCTATTTGACAGGGTCATCAGATGTTCAAGTACAGTATGACAATGGCATGTATTTGCATGTGTACATCTGAATAATATGACACTTAATGTCAAGTATTTACTAATGCAGTGTTTCCCAACTCCGGTCCTCGAGTACCCCCAACAGTACAGATTTTTTTTGTGGCCCCGTACAAGCACACATGATTCTACTTGTCAACTAATCATCAAGCCCTCGATAAGTTGAATCAGGTATGTGTGGTGTTGGGGGTACTGGAGGACTGGAGTTCTAAAACGCTGTACTAGCGCATGCACCAACAAAGGTAGTCAAAGAGGGGGAAAGATTAACACTGCAGGCCTGGATTTGAATACTCCTATGTGACTGTGTGCTATTCAAATATATTCTGGTTATTCTACTGTCCCGGATAGCCTGTAAAGTCTAATATCCATCCGCACGTCTGAGTAATACGACACTCAAGCCAATGTGACATCACAACACCTTGGTCCCATTCCCTTGCTCAGACGTTACATGCGTGCCACATCAGACTGTGCCATCGAGCACCATATTGCTATAACATACAGTGCCTTCAGAAAGTATTCAAACCCCTTTGATGTTTTCTTGTTACAGCCTGAATTTCAAATGGATAAAATCACAATAGTTTTTTGGGTCACTGGCCTACACACTATACCCCATAATGTCAAAGTGGAATAATATTTTTCAACATTTTTACAAATTAATTAAAAACGAAAAGCTGAAATGTGTTGAGTCAATTATTCAACCCCTTTATGGCAAGCCTAAATAAGTTCAGGAGTAAACATTTACTTAACAAGTCACAAGTTGCATGTACTCACTATGTGTGCAATAATGGTGTTTAACATGATTTTTGAATGACTACATCTCTGTACCCTACACCTAAAATTATCTCCAAGGTCCCTCAGTCGAACAGTGAATTTCAAACACAGATTCAACCACAAAGACCAGGGAGGTTTCCAATGCCTCGCAAAGAAGGGCACCTAATTGATAGATGGGTAAAAAAACAAAACAGACATTGAATATCCTTTTGAGCATGGTGAAGTTATTAATTACACTTTGGATGGTGTATCAATACACCCAGTCACTACAAAGATACAGGCCTCCTTCCCAACTCAGTTGCCGGAGAGGAAGGAAACCGCTCAGGGATTTCACCATGAGGCCAAATGGTGACTTTAAAAGAGATAGAGTTTAATGGCTGTGATAGGAGAAAACTGAGGATGGATCTACAACATTGTAGTTACTCTACAATACTAACCTAATTGACAGACTGAAAAGGAAGCCTATACAGAATACAAATATTCCAAAACATGCATCCTGTTTGCAACAAGGCACTAAAGTAATACAGCAATAAATGTGGCACAGCAATTCAGTTTTTGTCCAGTTCAGTGTTATGTTTGGGGAAAATCCAATACAACACATTACTGAGTACCACTCTCCACATTTTCAAGCATGGTGGTGGCTGCATAATGTTATGTGTATGCTTGTAATCGTTAAGGACTGGGGAGTTTTTCTGTATAAAAAAGAAATGGAATGGAGCTAAGCACAGGCAAAACTCCTAGAGGAGAATGTGGTTGTCTGCTTTCCACCAGACACTGGGAGATTAACTCACCTTTTAGCACAATTACCTAAAACACAAGGCCAAATCTACACTGGAGTTGCTTACCAAGAAGACAGTGAATGTTCCTGAGTGGCCGAGTTATAGTTTTGACTTAAATCTACTTGACAATCTATGGCAAGACATGAAAATGGTTGTCTAGCAATGATCAACAACCAATTTGACAGAGCTTGAAGGATTTTGAAAAGAATAGTGGGCAAATTTGCACAGTCCAGGTGGGGACTTACCCAGAAAGACACAGCTGTAATCACTGCCAAAGGTGCTTCTACATAGTATTGACTCAGGGGTATGACACTTATGTAAATGAGAGATTTCTGTATTTCATTTTCAATACATTTGCAAAAAACTCTTAAGAACATGTTTTCATTATGGGGTATTGTGTGTAAATGGGTGAGAGAAAAAAATCTATCCATTTTGAATTCACGCTGTAACAGAACAAAATGTGGAATAAGTGAAGGGGTACGAATACTTTCTGAAGGCACTGTATGTAGTTAGCTGATACGTAAAATACCTATCCAGGCTTGTCTTTGTATCTCCATATGGCTTGCAAGTACCGGTAAACACTTACCAAGCCCTTGCTTATGCACTGATGCCAATTACGGAGAAGTTGCTGATAAAGAAGCACCTGGTTGAGTGGGCAGCAAGACTCCATTTAGCTGGAGACAACACAGATTTATTCAGACCTACACCTGATTTGGACTACAGTTGAATATAATTATCTGCAACCTCAACATTTAAATCTACGCCAAAGCCTTTTTGTGTTATGGAAATGTCTTTGAGACAGGTGTGGTTGAAAGAGGGCTTTTAGAAACTTGGCCAGGTTCTGGTGGGTAAGTCTTAATTAGAAGCGATTTGCATGGCTACTTTCGTTCCTTGAGGCCTTTGAGAGTGAGTTGTTGGCTTCATGTTGAATACAACACAATACAGACATGACTAATACAGTAGACTTAATCACTCACCACCAATTAGACTGAATGATTAAGACATTAAATGGCTTCTCTTATTATTATCATCTTTACACTTGTGGAAATTGGCCTATATGTATAGGGCTAAATTGAAATGTTTCTTACAGAATAAATATGAAAAGCATATGCATAACCATGGTAGCAATTGAAATTGAACAGTTTGGAGATAATGGGACAATTATTATATTATATTATATTAAGGTGAGCACACAGCAGTTCACCTGACACAAGACTGAATCCAAACATTACTGTTGATTTTATGTGCATTTTACATTTACTGTACTTTTCGCCGCATTTGTTGATAACGAAATCTGAAAATACTCTGGGTACATTCAGTAACATAAGAATATTCCTGGAAAATGTGGGGTAGGTACAACATAATAAAAACAAATGACAAGGGTTTGAGTGAGAGGACTAACTGGTGTCTCCAACTGGCCACACACACCTCTCCAAAGTGTGCACAGTTCCTAAGCAATTTCAATGCACTATTATGGCTCGAAGAGTCTTCAACTAGAAGGTACTTTTTTGAGCTCTCCTAGCTGGCCGTTGAGGAACTAGAGCAAGTATACTTGGTTGTTTCATTTGGAACACAACCCTGCAATCACACAATTACTGTTGTTGTTAACGCAATCTAAAAACGGTCCATTTATAAGTCGCAATCTGGGTCAGGTGGGCATGATTTGAAAGCTTGTTCTATTGCCAACATGACTAGCTAAGTTATAAAATACGATCTTACAGTGTCAGGCTTTCACAAGGCAGTTCAAAGAAACAGATTGTAATTTTGGGGCGCATAGAAAGGAGTCATGAGCCACGGCAAAGTTTCTAAATAAACATTCTGTTCAGAACAACCCAG